AGGAGTAGACACATGACCTAGGAGAGCCAATCTGATGACCCCTCACCTCTATTTCCTTGAATCCAGCACTGGTCTATGTATAAAATCCTAACCCAAGCAGAGCCAATCTTTTAGGAAATGACATTAGCACTTGAAGAGGAGGTCCACCTCTTTCCCAAGACCGTAAAACAAAAGAACCACTTAAACCTGGAATAACTTAGGGGCACCTCTGGCACTATGTAGAAAAATCTTCTCTGAAAATAATGGCAAACAAGCAAGCAGAGCTGATCCAGCCCTGCCTAAAGTCCTTCATTATCTCAGTTAAATGAAACACTGAATTACTTCTTTCTCTTATACCAATCTGAGCTGTTTCTTTCTCCTGCAACTGAAAGGATCCTGAAGTACACGTAAGAATTTAGGTCATATTTGCTCCTATTTAATCTAATATGGACAATACATGCAGCCAATCTGTTGGATGGAAATTCTGCCTCTCCTACATGCTAGCTATGAGACACTGGTTAATTTCACCTGTGTCTGTTTCCTTGTCTGTAAAATGCTGATATATTAGGACCTACTTCATAGGGCTGTTGAATTAAATGGTATTATATGCACAAGTGCTCAATGTATTGTAAACAATCCACAAATGTAGCCATTAAGAAAGACTGTATATTACATAAGAGGAAAATGTTCCATAAATCCAAAAAAATGTATTACAAGTTCAGAAGAACAGAAGCTGATATGGGGAAGTTAATCACAGTAAGGCTACTGCTCACAGTAGGTATAGATTCCAACATCAATGACATTTCCCTCCTTCTGCAGCCAAGAAATCCAAACAGATGTCTGATGCACAGTAGAAAAGGTAAAAAAAAAAAAGAAAAGAAAAAAACAAATACCCTGGCAGTTTGTGAATATTAGAAAAAAGATTGTTTTCAATATAGGTTCTATTATCTTTCTAAATGTATTTTCTTAAATCTTTCCCTGATATTTGTTCAAAATTATACCAAAATAATTGGTATGAGGTCTGATGCATCGTTCACACACTGACACCTATCAGGCAGAAAGCTCAACCTCCACGAAGAATACATCTGAGATTTAGAAGCTCTAGTAATCCTGGCTCAGGCACTGTGAGTGCTTAGATTCCTTGACTTTTCTGTCATGAGAAAGTAAGGAAGGAGAAGGTATGCTCTTCCACGAGCTTAGTGTAATTGGGAGAGATGACTAACAGTGTAAACCTAAAACTGACCCAAAATTCGGAACACAAGGATCAAATTCAGTGATGGAAGAAAACCATGTGAGTCAAGAGGGAAGGCATAGGAAATAGTCAGTACCATAATAACTACGTATAGGGCCAGGTGAGTACCTGAAATAGCAGGATAACACTCTGTAAAGTACATGGTTGTCTAACCACTATGCCATACATCTGGAACTAATAAAGAATGATACTGAAAGTAAACTGTAATTGGAAAAAAAACCCCAAAACCAGAAAACGAGTGAGGAAAGGCTCCATGTAGAATCCATGCCCTGGTTAAGCTGTTAGGAATGGGCAGCAGACAGTGAACAAACTTTCCAGGTAGGGAAATGGAAGAGAGTTTCGCTGATTGAAAGGTCATGTTGGGAGACTAAATGCGGGAATACCTTTAAACATTTAAGGGCAAAATGTCATTTGCTTTTAAACTACCACCCAAAATGTAACAGTTTCCAAGTATTTAGCCCAATTTTATTTTATATTATTTATTTTTATTTTACTGATTTTTGAAAGAGAGAGGAAGGGGGACGGGAGGGAGAGGGAGAAAGAGAGACAGACAGACATCTATTTGTTGTTGCACTTATTTATTCATTCATTGGTTGATTCCTGTATGTGCCCTGACAAGGGACTGAATACACAACCATGGCATATCAGGACGACGCTACAACCAACTTAGCGACCCAGCCAGTGCCTTCTTTAGCCCAATTTTAAACAAACCCATCTACTATCCTTTGTTAAAATTTTTAATTGTGGTAAAATACACATAAAATTCATCATCTTACCATTTTTAAACACACAGTTGAGTGGTATTAGATGCAGTCACTGTTGTGACACCAATCACTAAAACCTTCTCATCTCACAAAACTGAAAGTCTATACTCGTCAAAGAACTTCCTATACCCCTTTCTCTCCAGCCCCCAGCTTCTGTTTCTATGAACTTGGCTACTCTAGATATCTCATTAAGTGGAATCACAGTATTTGTCTTTCAGTGACTGGCTTGTGTCACTGAACATAATGACCTGCTGTCCTTTCATGCCCTTCGTACCTGATGTCAGAGCCTGTGCCTAAGCTGTGCTACATCCTCACTACAGTCCTTTGTCCTCAAATGTTGAATTGTATCACGTCACTTTAGCTCCTCCAAAAAGCTTTAGGCATTTCCAAAGAGGCTGTAGGCATGTCTTCTCTCTCAAACACCAGTGACTTAAAGCTACACCAAAACCACAGTTGTTATGGCAAAACTATGTGAAAGAGAACTACTTAAATTAATTATGAACCAGTAAGTTTGTGCCTTTTCCCTACATACTTTCATATACCACCAAATCTTCCCAAATCACTCCTTTACAAATTCATTCCAGTGACTTCAAATAATTGGCAAACTGTGATGCTTCCCCTTCCTGGTAGTCCCTACATACTTTCTGAGTAATATCCATTTCACAGTTATTTTCAGTGGATTCTCCTGCACACTTCCTAGTAAAATGCTAAGGTAAGGAAACTAGCAAAAGTTTCTTTTAAAAAAAAATTTGAAGTGCTAAATATACAATAAATATTCCATTAAAATACATGATAAATTGCCCTGGCCGGTGTGGCTCACTTGGTGGGAGCATCGTCCCATACACTGAAGGTTATGGGTTCGATTCTTAGGGCACAAACCTAGGTTGCAGGTTCAATTCCCAGTCAGGAAGCCTATGGGAGGCAACCAATCCATGTTTCTCTCTCACATCGATGTTTTTTTCTCTCCCCTTTCCACTCTAAAAGCAATGGGGAAAAAGTCCTTGGGTGAGACTAAATATATATATGATAAAATGACTTTAATAAACCAAAAATAAAAAATAAATCAAACCACCAGAAAATAGTGACAACTACAAGTTTTATTGTTGAATATTTACATTTTACAAAAATAAGATTCTATTAAAATTAAATTGGATTCAACTGAGTATGCACAGTAAAATTAAAATTCAAATTCAAAGCTTAACCACTCTAAGAACAGAGACAGAATATATAGAGTAATATATCTTCCAAACAAGTAGAAGGGGAAAAGTGAAAAGATAAAAGAAGACCTTGAATCAAAAACAAAAAACAAACAAAAAAAATACGGGGGAAGGGGCAAAAAAGCAGATCTAAAGACAGCAAAGAAAGTACAAAGTATAAGACGGTAGAAAAAGTCCAAATCCCTTCAGTACGAAGAGACTACTAAAAGTGAGATGCTGTTTTAGGCACTAAGGATACAGCAATAAACAAAACACATAAAAATACCTGCTGTGATGAAACTTCCATCCTAGTGGCGGAAGCATAATAAACCAGATAAATGACTAAATCACAAGGAATGTCATAAGTTGACAAGCGCAAGGACAATGAGTGCAGTGGAGATGTAAGCAAAAGATCCATCTGGGACAGCCTTACAGAGAAAGTAACATTCAAAACAGGTGAGGGAGGTAAGGGACTGAATCACATGCATACAGGCCAGGGAAGAGCATTCCAGGCAAAGGAATGGCAAGCACAAATATCCGGAGACTGGCGGGCACTTGAGGAGCCCACACAGAAGGACGAAGGGGAGAGTATGCAAGAGGGGAAATCAGAGGTAAAGCAGATCTGCATCATAAAGGGCTTTGGGGGCCACTCTAAAGACCTGGCTTAGGGATCTGAGTGAAAGGAACAGACTTTGGTAGATTTTTTTTGAAGGAAGTGGATTATTTATTTATTTATTTATTTAGAGGATCACTCTACATGTTGTGATGCAAACAGAGTGGAAAAAGAAAAGGCAGACTAGTTAGATGGTAACTTGGACAAGCGAAGGCGGTGAGAAGGGTATGGGAGCCTGGACAGGTTTTGAAGGCAGAGTCCAAAGGATGTGCCGATAGATTACGTGCACGGTGCAAAAGAGCTGAGTCAAGGATGACTCCAAAGGTTCTGGCCGGAACAAGTATCTCCGCAGTGACAATAAATGTAAGTACAATAAACGTGCCAGTCAAAAGGCAGAGATTGTCAACTAGGATTTAAAAAAAGAAAAAAGCGATATGCTGTTTATAAAAGCACAAAGAAAGGTTAAAACTAAAAAGCTGAAAAAAGTAGAAACAAACATCAAATGACAGCTGCCATAGCAGTATTAATGTTAGAAGAAAAGTCTGCTCTTAGTCTTTATCGACTCGTTCTCTAACAGTTTGGCATTTGTAAACCCTGTCTTCGCGATGGGGCTAAGGTTTCCTTGTGGACAGGGATGTCACACCCTCACCCGGGTCCACCCACAACTTAAGTCCCCAGTCGGCAGTAGGCATTATGTAAAATTCTTAAACGTTATCCACTCACTTAACATTATTTCTCCTCCACCACAAATGTTAAATGACTTGGTAGGACAAGGCTCTTTCTCTAACGTCACACCAAGTCACTGGTCGCCCATACCAATTTCACCTCTTCCAAAGTATCAAGCCAGTAAGACTTCTCTGCGAAGTGCGGGCAGCGCGGTCCATCCCGCTGGGTCGCGCCCGAGACCTGGCACGACCGTCCACGCGCGCGCCAGGCCGCCCGCGCACACACGCCCTGGTCCGTACACACGCCCGCACGCGCGCGAACACACAGACACACACGTACGAGCACGCACTCCCAGAGCCTGCGCATCTGGCCAAAGTCGCAGGGAGCAGGCAACGCCCGGCTCTAGCAACCTGGGAAGTTTCCAGAAAACATCTAGGAAAGGAAAGACGGACAAGCACTGCAAGGTGACTGTCGGCCGCGGCCACTAAGAACGCTCGCCCCCTCGTCTCCCAAATCCCTGCGACGCTCACCTCTCCGAGGCCAGCTGGGTGGTTCGAGAGTCGGCCCCTCGCATGCGCCTCGCCAAAGCTCAGCTTCCGTGTCTTTACCGGAAGCGCCTTATTAGGAGGCAGGAAGTCCCGCCTCCGCGGTGAGTGACTGCCATTAGAGCTCCCACTGGACTGCAGTCCGAAGTTCGGAAAGCCTGCACAGACTCAGCTGCTCAGCTCCCCTTGCGCCTCGGGAGCAATTCCGGGAGCGAAGAGCCCCGAGGCCGGAACAGCCCCGGGGATCTGGCACGTTCCCGTTAACTGGTTCGAGTTGCAAGTCCTGTGTGAAGTTCAGCTCCGTGTTTACTGAGTCCACCGCCTAAAAAGCATGTGGTGGTCACAAAGAATAGAGGGATGACTCCTCAAAAACGGGGGGTAAATTAACGGGTTAAAACATAAGGCAGAGTGAAAGTAAGTGCAATGATGGAAAAAGCAAATACCGTAGTCCTGTTAATTTCTCAGTGCCAGGTAGGTCTCGTGTGTAAATATCTCGATGACTTCTTGTCAGGATCAAATGAGATGACGCTTAAGTAAACGTTTAGCAGTGGGGTCGGGTACGAGATCAAAGCGCACAAACGCCTAGAGCGTTTTTATTGTTTGTGCAAAAGAAAGAGGCCGTTAACCCAACCAGGGGGACGCTAAGTAACACCAGGGAGAAGGCCTTGACGATGAATTTTGTTAAAGGTGAGCAGAATTTCAACACGCAGATACCCGTTGTGAATATGTAAAAACTGCTTTTGTTTAGTGAGAGGGCATAGACTGAAACACCCTGTTTCCTAAACCTTCGGAAGCTCGGTTGTGTGAAATCCTATCGGTAAGATTGGAAACAGCCCGTTCCTGCCTGTAGGGACCGAACTACGTGGATCATTCTGACACTTGCCCAGTCCCCGTATAAAGGCTCAAATAAGGGATTTTCAGATGTAACATCCCACATTTATTTTAACTTTATAATTGTCAAGGCTACAAGACCTTGGAAGCTGCTTCATAGCCCAGGCTAGCCGTTTTTTGTTTTGTTTTGTTTTTTCACTCCTCACTTCCCATGGTGTGGGGCTACCTTGTTACAGCAAGTCAGGAAGCCTAACTTCATTAGACTACAGGTTTGTCTCTGATGGGCTTTATCAGGTAGGTTTTAATGGTGTTTATTTTGGCCAAGCCTCCTAGACACGTGAGGGTTAGACACCTTTAGTTCCATCTTAGCAGAAAACTGAAGCAAAATAAGGGTACATTATTTACCCATATTCATCTGTGTCCTGAAAAGAGCTGTGGGCTTTATAGCTTTCAAGTTTCAGCTGAGAATGACCACAGTTTTTTTAAAAATTATTGGCATCCACTAAATTCAGACCAGCTTCACAACAGTTATAGAAAACATGAATCTTCCTTTTAGTTGTTAAGTACTTTTTCCTCTCCACTAAACTGTGACATTTACACCATTTTGCCCAGCGTGAAAGAATGGCTCTCTCTCTCTGCCCTCAGGCCTTGTCATATTGATGCTGTGCATTGCTCTCAACCCTGTTATCTTCTAGAAGTGCTTTCTCTGCTCCACTCCATCTCTCATTCTTTGCCTCCTCTCACTTTAACCCTGTTCACCTTGGCATTCTGGCTTCTCTCTTCCTTCCAGCTCTTCCAGAATTACCTTCTCAAATGTCATCTGTGACTTCAAGTCACCAACGTGGTCTCCCAGTCCCCATAGCCCTTGATTTCTGTACAACATAAGTTGATAGAGTTAATTACCCCTCTTTGTTGGAAAAAACACATATGTAAAACCTTGTAGAAGAAAGGTCAAGCTTAAAATATCACACATTTGCAATGCAGTCCACTTGGAGTCTCATCATTCGTGCACTAAGTATAATACATTTGTAGTGAATGCCAGCTCTGCATCAAACACTCTTTTGGGGCAGTGGAGATCTAGAGGTGAAAAAGAGATACAATGTTTCAGTCCTAGAACAATTTGTATCCTAAACATGGGACAGATGATATAAAATAATTTCAGATTGTGCTAGGTGCAACAAAGGAAATCAGAAGGTACTAACTTAAAGTAGGGAGGCAGAGAAGTCAAGTAAGATAAGAAAGAACTACTCACTAGGTTTTGCAAGATAAATGTCAGTGTCCTTGACAAGAACAGTTTTGGTAGAATGGCAGATCCTGAAGCCAGCCTGCCTGTGTTGAGTTGAAGTGGCAGGAAGTTGAAGGAGCAGAGCTAAATGACTCTGCAAAGAAGATGTCTTCTAATTGCCATATGCAGTGAAATTTGTCTGTTTTGGACAGAGAGTTACAAATCACTTTGGAAATCTGATGAAAGCTATCCGCATAATGCAAAATTTGCACATAATTGCAGGGAGTTAATTAATCCTTTGAAGCTCATCGATGGGCCCCGTGGAAGTCCACAGGTCACAGATTCAGAGCCCCTCTCTTTTCGATTAGCTGGCCTTTTCCTTCCTGGATGCCTTTTTCCTGTGATTGCCCCTTACTGGCATCTGTCCTTGCCTACTGCTCTTCTCATACTATAAACTCTCTTGGTGACCACATCTACTTTCTTGACTTTTATTATTGGGACGGGGACACCTATTTTAGTAGAAAAGCCCTCTGGCTTTGTGGAGTAACTTAAAAGATCAAGATCAGTTAAGCCCACTCAATTTCAGATTTATTGGATTTCGTAGTGTCTAACTGGACACCATAGGAGTTGAGGCTATTGAATAATTGTTCACAAGGACATTCGAGAAAGGTTTATATAAGAAAAGCAATCAAAAGCTAATTCTCTCACTGTAATGTTTTACAATCTTCCAGCCCCATCACTAGGCTGAGTCAGCCTTTCACTGGAAGCTTCACAGTGGCAGATGTCTATCATGCAGTTGCCTCCCCTGTTCTTCTTGTGAACTTGTGGCACCTTCTTCTGTGCCGCTTTTCCTCTTGGTGTGCGACTTGTGAAGGTTAACTTGGCTAGGCCATGTTCTTGTTATTTTGTTGTTGTTCAGTGGTGCTTTTATGACTTTTTAACTTTTCAATATTTGAATAGATAATATATCCATTCTTATGCTTCAAAAGTCCAAAGTAATAAATGGGTAGCCCTGGCCAGGTTGCTCCGTTGGTTAGAGCATCATCCTGATACAATGTGGGGTCCATCCCTGGTCAGGGCACATACAAGAATCAACCAATGAATTCATGAATAAGTGGAAGTACAAACTGATGTTTCTCTCTCTGTGTCCCTTTCTCTCTCTCTCTCTCAAATCAATAATTTTTTTAAAAAATGTTTGTAAAGTAATAAATGAGTACACAGTGAAAGTTTCTCTTACTGCTCATATTTCCCAGAGGGAACACCAGAGTCAAGGACAGGATAAAGAACCAAGACAGAACAAGAATGTGGGGAGGGGCGCAGAGGGGGCGGAAACAGCAAGTACTATTTAGCCACGTGATCAAAGTCTGCTGCCAGATGAGTGGACTCCAGTAGTTTTCTCCACTCAAGAATCTCCCTTTGATGGTAGCAGGGTAATCAGAAGAAGGATGAGCAACATTCTGATTCTGCGTGGAAAAGCAGGGAACCTCGGCTGCACGTGACTGGAGAGAGTGAATTCACCCATAGGAAACAAATGCGATTAGGAAGAATTAGGAAGAATGGCCAATAAACAACAAAGGTGTCCCCTGTGGGAGTTTATACCTCATTTTATTTTACAAACTTAAGCAACAGTATAACAAAAATAACCTAGATCAACAGTTGAGGTCCAGGATAATTGTTTTTCTTTTAAAGGAGATGGATGGTACGTTAGTCAAGTTGGAGAAACAGTTTTAAATCCCTATTAAAGAAATGATTTCCAGCTGCCTTAGAATGGAGTCGGCACCAATCAGAGAACAATAGGTCTGCTGGGAATAATAAAAATACCCTTTATTGAGTCAGTCATATGCCTTGAAATGGCCATTTTTACCTTAGTTAACTAAAGGCCATATTAACACTTTGTTTCGTAAGGTCTCCACTAACTGCTTAGCTAAAGACCACCTCTTACTCATTTTCTTTCTGGGTAGAGGGAATGGTTTGTTTTTTCCAGTTCCATCATTACTATTACTATTTAGTTTAAAGACATTTTGATTTGAGAACAAAGTCTTCAGCAAGGAAATCCAACTTGTTTAGACTTTAGAGACAGAGCAAATGTAATGGGTGGCAGGGGAACAAAGTATGTCGGCACAAGTACAAAAGTGGGAGCGTGCGTGTCTTTAGGTACGAATGAAATAGGCAGGCTTAGGTGAAGTAAAGGTGAGAGACGGGAAGCAGATTATAGATAGCTTTGACCATGAAACTAAAGTGTTTATTCTATATGGAAATTACTTTTAAAAAGAGGCATAAAATGAAAGCAAATAATTAAGATTAATTTTGCAATTGTATGCAACAGGGGCTGAAAGAAGAGAAGGGATTTCAGGAAAACAAGTCAGAGAACATTAATTATCCATATAGACTATGATGGTGTTCTAAGCAAGGAGGAAGTTATTGGTTTTGTCTTTTGTTTCTTGCAGCAGTCACTAGCTAAATGATACTCCTGTCTGAGCCACGATATAACACAGTGAACCCCAATAAATTTTTCCAACAACTTCCCCATTAAATTGATGATCATAGATGACTTTTGCTCAATTAATTGAGAATTTTTCTTAATATTAATAACATCCTTCATGGCGCTAAATCCTTTCCTTGCTTCCTCTAGACTATCAGCAATTATTCTCAATTTTTGTAAGCCTTAGAGTGTCTATAATTATATATATTTTCTATCTTTAGTGATAGGTCAGTTAGTGGATGCTATAGTTTAATTTTTGTTCATCTTCCATCCAGAGCTTTGTGGACCATAATTGGCCATGTTTAGGATTCAATAAATGTAACAAACTGAAAAAATTATTATGCTTTCATTTAATGTCAAACTGCAAATGTATTTTAATAAAAATTATTAGAAAATCTATTAGTTTGTCTCTTGGAATTGCTAGTTTGTTTTGTTTCAAAGGGCATATCATTATTTGTTTCGGTAACTTTCTATTTCATTTTCAGTTTT